TTCCAATGGTCAGTCCCCCAAACAGTTGCAGAAATAGCAGTAGCATCACATGTGGACTGTGGTTATAAAGCATGGTAACTGTGACAGCAGAGCAGTGTCCTTGGAAGGTAGCTGGGCAGCTGCCCTCACTGAAGTTGGAAATGTTGGCCTGTCTGGTTCATGTATACATACACATGTGTGACTGGGCACATGCATGGGGAGCACTTACTCTAAAAAAAGGAGGAGAAAAAAAGGCAGGGCTAAATATCATTCATCAACATTTCACACTCATTTTCATTTTAGTAGCATTTGGCTGCAAGACTAAATTATCTGCCGAAATTTCTTACCGTCTTTTGCTTTTTTTTAGATAAATTCCTCAGAAAATTCAAGGTTGCATTAAAAAAAATAAAAACACTGCCCATATGAACGTCTTCATTACCCAAGGATCTCCTAACTGGGCTCACACACAATCTGGTATAACCAGGGATATGTCAGGATGTCAAGTTCTCACTGCAAAAGCCGATACATTTAATAGTTTTGCGCATGCATCCACACATTGCACACATCCATATAAGGCCTTCTACAGATTCCACATGGAAATCCTATCCCGGGTCTGCTGTTTTTCTATCTCATACCTTTCTGCAGTAATTTATATCTGTAGCAAAGTATATGCAAAATGTCCGCTAAATTAAACAAAAGCAAAATTCTGGCTGGGTAATATTTTGCACAGAGGTAAACAAATCTTCTGAGTCAGGGCTGGTTAGAAAATAACAAAAAAAAAAAAAAACACAAAAAAAAACAAAACAAAACAAAAAAAAAAAACCCAAAGAGTCCAAAAAAAAAAAACCCCATTCCATGTGGTTCATATATTGTCCATCACCGAAGTTAAACATGAAAGAAATCCTACAACTAACTCTGGGTTATTTCACCATTAAGGATCTTTTTCTAGATTGCTGAAGTATGGGAGTTAAAAAAAACTCATCAGCCACAAGCAATAGGCAAATATATACAAATTAATCTGCTACAGCACTTCGGTGCAAAGGGCATGGAACTCAGGATGTTTGCAGTGACATTTTACAAATCTAATAGTAACACCTTAGATGTATCTGGCACTTCTCAGCCCCAAAAAAGTAGATCCCAGGATGATTTATGGACTGTGAACATATAAATATGTGTATTTGGGTCATTTCAGTCAATGGTGGAAGACAAAGCAGTGCCCTGTCAGGACTGAAGACGTCCAATTGTTCTGCACTCAGACAGAGGGTGAAAAAAATCTGGTAGAGCCCCGGCTTACACCTTAATCAAAAGATTTAAACCATTTAGGTAGGGTCCTACTTCTCAAGTTCTTCACATTCCATCATCAGTGCAAAAGAATTATGAAGGATAGCAATATCAAAGGTGCAAAGCCAGCCTGAATCTCAGCTTCTGCATTGCTTCCATCAGGAGGAACACTCTCCCCTTTACTTCCATTTCCCTCTCTCCATGAGAGAGCTGAGATGAGCAAGATCCTGAGGCCAGCTGTAATGATATCACTCTGACATGCGGGAACAGAGACGACAAAAATTTTCTGCACAAAGTGCAATTTTAATCACTTTAAGGGATCTGAGGTTCTCTTTTAGCTGTTTGCTTTGCTCTTAGGTTATCTCCATGGCCACAAGACAACAACCTTCCTTTCTAAAAGCCAATAATCAATCATCCGGCTGTTTATCTGCCCATCAGACCCTTATAAAAATGTCAGAACACATTGGCTACTTGCAAACAAATGCATAAAAGACGTACAAGTCTCACACACAATTAAGTTTCATAGAGTCAGAGTACCAGTGATTCAAATTCAATTTCCAGCAGAGAAACAGGGAAGGAATGCAGCTGTTGACAGCTGTGCCGGGCAGCGTGCTCACTGCCTGGTCCCTCCTGCCACCCAGCAGAGATGTCACACAGGACATGAAGGAGACACGGTAGACAAGGTTATGGAACAAGCAAGTCAGATGCAAAGCCACAGGGAACCAGGCTTCATCAGTCCTGCTGCTTGCGAGCGAGGTGTTTTTAATAATGACGGGTGGAAATTCTGTTTTTTATGGGCCTTGAAGGTTTTGGCACTACAAACGGTACCATGTATGGCCGTGCCTCAGATAATATTAAGAACTGACACTTCTGGGAAAGGAAGCAGGAAAAAGGCACGCACAGTGCATCCGGCATAAAGGACAACAGGCAGAGGAGAAACAGAAGGATGTGCATAACAGTGAATGAGTGATAACAAGGTGGGGAGAGAAAGAGGGAGTGAAATAATTAGGAAGGGAGGAAGGAAATAATTAGGAAACTGGAATCTGGACCGGCATCCTATTTGCATGCAGCCCAGTTAACTTTGTCCTTAAAAAGGAATGACCAAGCAGGGCTTTCCTCCTCAGTCTGCACGCTGTGTTTGTGTAAGTGCTACTGATAGTTAAGATTGCCAAGATGCTTGGAAGCTGTTTATCAATCACTTGTTGCTCCTTTCTAAGCATTTACGTGTTTAGGATTTGATTTTTTTTTTTAGTGAGGGTGGAACAGTTCTTCAGCAGCGAACAGCAGTTTTTCTTGTGCAGCAGTTTCTCTGAGCTGACTGGGGAGTTACTCCCTGTACCACACACTTGGGCAACTGAGCAAGCTATGTCCCTGGCTGTGGGGCTGAGGATGGCGTGCTGCCTCCAGGAGAAAGAAGAGGCAGAAAACCGTTTTGTAAACATGCTGCTCCTCCATAAGCAGGCCCAGCTCTGAGCGATGCCACACTGCTTCATTTCAGGATAACAGAAGTCCTGCTGCACACATCTGTGCAGAAGTGTGGGTACCATTGCAGCTGTAGTACTGCTGCACGTGCCCTGCAGAAAAACAAGGTACAGAGGCTGAGCAAATGAGACAGCGCCCTGGGATGGGATGCTGTGTGTCCACCTCAAGCTTGAGATCAGCTTTATCCCTGTCACACCAAGCAAGGTCGAATGCATAGCACGTAATCACTATGGACGGGCCAAGGATTTAGCACGGCTTCACTTCACCGGCTCCTCTCCCAAATTAAATAAACTGTCACCACTGCTCTGTCCATGTGTGTCCACAGGCTTGTTTCTGAGAAACACAGCCAACAGTAGCCACAGGGAAGCATTCCAGCCAGAGGGAGCCATGCGGAGCGCCAGGAGGTGGCTGAGGCTTAGGCTGGGCCTGGGGACCCCTATTGCAAGGCAGAGCAGCACGGCAAGCACTGCGGCATGGGCGGCAGCCAGCAGGGGTAGCAGGTGTGGGCCTGCCCTGAGCAGGGTGCAGAGTGCTGGGTCTGGAGTGGGCAGGGTGGGGGCAGGCAGCAGGGACCCCAGCCAAGGCCCAGAGGCAGAAAGTGCTGGGAAGCAGGGAGCCACAGTCAGGGTGCACAGAGAGCTGCCCAGCCGGTAATGCCAGGGCATGCTGCCAAAAGTTTGGGCACAGCCTGGCCATAAGCCCAGACATTGAAAGAGCAGCCTGAAAAGTGAGGTCTTACCAAGCCCATTAGCAGCCTGCAAGTTCCTCTGTCCTGTATCCCTCCCTTGGGCAGTCGCTTGTGGGATGAAACTAACCCAGTTTTCTTCAGGAGGTCCCATTTCTCTCCTCAGACTCCACTGTTTTCTTCCAGAAAGCAAAGAAGTACAAAGTGGGGGGATCCAGGCCTTCAGAAACGTTCCACCAGGATGCCAGAGCTTTACAGTGGCTCAGTCCACCGGATAAGGAGCGGGAAGGCCAACAGGCAGGGCTCAGAGCCTTCCAGAGCCTGGCAAAAAGCTGGGCTGGGCTGGCAGGACCCAGCCTCCAAGCAGAACACCACAGCAGCAGGATGGTCTCATCCTGCTGTAACAGCACACCACCCATGTTAGCATCTCTTCCAGCAGTCAACTGCTTTTTACTCTTGGAGCTGGGTTTTGTTTTGTGTTGCTGTTCCGAGATGCGATGACAACTCCTCAGCAACTTCCCACGTGCCATTTGAGAAGCACAGCCCTGACCAGCTCACTCCTGTTATTTCAACAGGAAGCCCAATGCACACAGCATTTGATGAGGCTGGGCTCCAAGTGCCAATGGCAGCTCATTAATTACTCCCTGCACTTCCTTACTCTACGTCTGACTGATGGAAAGCCACTGGCCAAGTCCAAACAGTTACCTGAAGCTCATGTGAGCCGTCCTCCTAAAACATCCCTCTTTTACAATAGACCATCCTTACATTACTTAGAGTCCAAACAAACTTGCAAGCTGAGCGCAGAGCAGATCCTGATGTGGGAACAACAAAGCAATGAACTTAAACACAGGCTCTCGTTTGTGCGTTTCTGGGGGAGGAAAGGACTAGTGCCTAAGAGGGAGAAAAGTCCTTCAGATACTGTGGTCGCACAGAGTTTGCCTGAGCGGGATAAACCCGCGGTACTTTCAGTTCACTACAGGAATTGCCTGTGATATACGCCGGACTCCCCACGACGGGACAGGGAGAGCAGAGAACTCCGGAGCCCCACAGCAGCTCTCCCTGCTCTGGGGACGAGAGGCGGCAATTACTGCTCCTACACATTCAGGAGCTTCTCCAACACAGCGCTTGAACGCGCCGGTTACCCCAAGGCCAAGGAAAAGCAAGGAGACTCCCCGCAGCCCCGCCGGCAGGCACGGCCCCAGCGGAACCGCCGCCCCGCTCCCGGCCCCGCGGCAGCCCGGCGCTCGGCTCCCGGCGATGGAGCGGCGACCCCGGCACGGCACGGCCCGGTCCGGTCCCGGCTCCCTGCGGCGCTGCGCTCGGCCGCGGCTCGAGACTCCCGGCGGCTCCCGGCCCCGCAGGGAAGCCCCCTGGCCGCGCCTGGCCGGCGGGCAGAACAATGAGAAGAGGGGAAGGGAAAGAGAGAAAGTGCGGCTGCTTCCTCCCGCCGGCCCTCTGCCTGGCTCTGCCTGCAGGAGACAGCGGAGCCTGACCAGGGGCAGGGGGTGGAGAGAGCAGGAGGAGGAGGAGGAGGAGGAGGAGGAGGACGGAGGGAGGGAGGGAGCGAGGGAAGGAGGGACGAACGGGAGCCTCTCTCCTTCCCTGGGCTGTTTTTTCAGTTTCCTGTCTCGCATTGTGCTCACAGCGGATATGTGCTGCGCCTACAGGTGTGTCCCCTCCTCGCAGCTTTTCTCCGGCTCCCCGCTGTAGGCTTTGGCTGTCGGGGGGCGGCGGTGAATCGCGACCGCCATGTGACGATCGATCGATCCCTCTCGGGGCGCTCCTCTCTGCTCTCTCGCTGCCTCCCCTCTCTCTCTCCCTCTCTTTTCCCTCCCTCCTTCCTCTCTCCCTCCTTCCTCTCTCCGAGGTGGCCGCAGCCGCTGCCGCCTCCGCGCTGACTCTGGCGAGGCGGCGGCGGGGCCCGCCGGGTGCAGGGGTGGCCGCCGGGGGGCCGCCGGAGCGCCTCCGCCCAGCGCCACCGCCCGCCCCGGGCTGCCGGGAGCCGCCTCCGCGCCGAGCGTCCGCGCCGCGGGCTGCCTCCGCCGGCGCTTGCACCTGTTGAAGGTAACGCAGCCCTTTCCCTGCTTCTGCGCGCCGGGCCGGGGGCGAGCTGCCCGTTCTGCTCCCGCCTGCAACCGCCGATCGCGGGCGCCGCAACTTCACCCTTCCCCGCCGCGGGCAGGGCGGAGGGACGGGCAGGGACGGGGCCGGGGTTGGTTACGGGGCTCCCGAACCGCGGCTCCGCGCTCCCGGCGCTGTTCCTCCGCCGCCTTGCAGGCGTTGCGGCCCCCCGCTGCCGCTCCCCGCTGCCGGCTGTCCCGGTGCCCGTCGAGCTCCCGCTCCCCGCCCGGGTTTCGCAACGCCCGGTGCCGGGCAGCCTCGGGTTCGCCGCCCGCTCGGTGCGGCGCGGCCCCGGCCCCGCGTTCCGCCCCTCGCACCGCCGGCTCCAGCTCGGGTGCTCAGCCGCGTTTTGTTTGTGTCTGTTTGCGGAGGCAGCTTTAAACTTTCTTTCCAAACTGTTAATTAGATATACTGCGTTTCGCTTCTGATTCGTGCCGGTGAACGAAAGTGCCGGCCCGAAACAGTCGTGACTCAAAGCATAGTTATTGGGGCAGCGCAGAACACCTCTGCCGTTCCCTGTTGCGATGGGCCGTACCTGCGCGTGTGACTTTGTCTTCTGGGAGGCTGCAGTGGCGGTGCCACCCGGAGACAGAAGGCGTCGGGAATAAATAACCGGGGTTCTTCCTGCCTTAGTCAGACCCGGGGTGAATGTACAGAGAGTGAACTGCAAGTTTTTGGTGCCCAATTGGGAATATCGTTGCCTTTGTTATTGGTGTGTTGCAAGGCTGCGGTCCCATCCCTATTGCTGCGCTCGCCACGGAATGAAAACTTGTTTGTGGAGGAACTTGGTGCTTTTGTAGCTAACGTTGTTGTTACCTTGAATGTGATGATTAACTTATTGAACACCAGAGGGAACTCTCAATAGGTAATTCATTCAAGAGCGATATATGCTTGTTCTGCTATTTATGTTCTCATTACAATGGAATCTAGAAGGAAGCTGGGGTCGGTAAGTAATGGGCTGCTGGCATGTACCTGGCATTACCTCGAGCTTTCCTTTTCTAGGGGTGTCTGCCCCAAAGCCGGGCTGGAAATTCTTTCTCCTGCCTTTCTTAACCGGCTTTGGTGGAGCAGGGTTGTGTACTGGCTGTGGGCAGAGCAGCAGGATGACCTGTTCCCTGTGCTCCAAGGAGTAAGCTTGGCACTCCGTACCCATCCTCCTGAGTCCTGCACACATTCCTCTGGTGCAGGGGCTGCTGCCTGCCATGGAAGGGCCAGAACAGAGCATGCTTCCAGCCAAAACAAAAGGGAGGAAGTCTGCTTCTGAGCCTGGTGTGGCTTGTCCCCGCTGCCTTGAATACTTGTGGTTTCCAAGTGTGGTGGGAACCGAGTCTGACTGAAGACAGAGTAGGAACTTCTCTTTTTAAAATGCTTTTACAATGATCTGATGTAACTGAGCAAAGCTGGTGTTGATCCAGCTAAACTCGATGCTGCTTTTAGTAGTGAAGTGAAGTCCAAATGCGCACCTGAAGCTTCAGATGCTCTTGATAAGCAGCTATAACAGTTCTGTTAACCAGATTTCTCTGATACTCCCAGATTGCTGACAACATGGGAAGGATGGCATAATAACCACACTTGTGACTCTGACTTGTGCTCCAGGAGCTGAAGCATCCAGCTGTTCATCCTGTCCTTTTGCCAGAGGTTACTTTGCCATCCAGCCTTGTTTCCTATTGGAGCTCGAGTGTGCCAGTGTTTACAGCCTGGCACATGAATGTGAGCTGTACTGTATGGCTGTTCGTGCTAGAGCATAATGTGGGGAAGTCCGGTAGCATGAAGCCTCCTGCTCATCTCCGTGCTGGAAGAGGGACAAGGCAGACAGCTGGGGTCAGCTAAATCAGGTGTGATCGAGAACTGGAGCCTGACAGCACTCACGTTCTTTGGAAATGGTGTTTTCCCTAGAAAATGTGACTCAGCTGAGCTACTTTCCTATCGATTCCCGTGGGGATCAGCAGCAGGAGGCAGCTCTGTGCAGGGGGAGGCTGTGTGATGGTCTCGCTCATGGCACTCACTTTGCTGGGTTTCAGAAGGTAGCAGTGAGCAGCTTTCTTCTTCCCATCCTTCGTCCCACATGGATTCTGGGAACTAGAAGGAGAAAGGTGTGTTTTCCCTTCTCGCCAAATCTTGCTTTGTACACCTAACTGAAGAATCTGCAGATATCAGTATATAAAATATATCCTCACTAAGGGCACAGCCATTTGCTGCCTGAGTCTTCCTGCAGATATTATTGGAAGTGGCGTACAGGCTTTAAATAGCTTTCCAAAACTGGGGGCTTTTTGCTATGGGTGCATAAGCTCCCCAAATACAAACGTACATTTGAAGGGAGATTTCTTGGGATTTGGGAGGTCCCTTCCAACACAAGCCATTCTGTGATTCTCTTCATGAATGCCTGTGAATAACAAAAATACCAGTGGCCTGTTGTTAGCATGTTTGAATTCTGGCTTGTTTTTAAGAAAACTGTTTGTACACATGTACTTTTCTTTAATGATGACACGATATTAATCGTTTATATTTCTGTAACACCTGGATTCTGAAATTTTGCATTCACTTTTAAAATGTTTATTGTATGAAGCACTGAATGAAGATATTTATTACACCAGTGCCACATTCTGACTATTGAATTACAACTGTAAAATTAAGGTAACAAGCTTAAATTAGAGTTTGCAACTTTAAACTCTTGCCAGCAAGCAGTTAATGGCAACGTTAACTGCTAGTAAAGTAATTGCTGCCATTTTTTTACTGTCATTTTGTTCTCACTTTCCTCCAGTCAGACTGTTCTATAGACATATAATGAATATTCCCCAAAATAGCTTGGCATTGTCGCTGATGCAGTTCCTCATCAGAACCAATGTGATGATGAGCTAATGTGCACTTCATTAAACACACTTGATTTATGCAAATAAAAGCTGTGGGGCCTTCCTTAAGTAAAGTTAGCACATCTTAGTGAGATGAGAGTCTAAACAATTAAAAATGGAATTAAGTAAACAAACAACTCTAATGAAGCATTCCTGCCACTTTTTTACCTTTGTCTTTTGGACTCAGTAGTGGATATCTATTATGCCTTTTCTTGCAGGCTTTCTCAACCAGTATGGAATCCTCAGTTTATAGTGAGAGGATCCAATTCTGTTTAGATGGTTTCCACTAGCATTAAAAATAATAATAATAATAATAATAAAAAAAGATAAAGTAATCACAAGATGTAATATAGCCAGGTGCAACTAGAATTAGTCAAGTATTACTTGACTAGTTTTGTTTCAATATGGGCCCAACTTGGAATTGATATTCATCTCTTAATTCTCATTTAAAAACCAACCAACAAACAAAAGCACTGCACACGTAACCTGATAAGGCATTTAGATGGTGTCTCTTTTAGAAGTGCAATATTTAGACAGCAAGTACTTTCACTGCTTGGTCAAAACTTGCATAGACAAAGTAGAAATAAGGAAAGGAAGAAATAAGTTTTATGTACCCATCAGTGGCTTAGTGTTACAGAGAAGCTCCGTTAGTGACCAGAAAATTGCTCAGGCTTGGCTTTAGAAGGAGGCTGTGGAGTCTGTGCCGGGAAGGCTCTAAAGAAGCGGATGGATGGAGGAGGCTGAGGACACGTGCTTGCCCAAGCACTGGAGGGTTGGGACTTGTCCTTAGGGAGATAGTTCATGGGTATCTGGTAAAGCTGAATGTTTCTTGGTCTCTTTAGGAATAGATAGCTTTTGGATCTCTCTAAGCTTCTTTCTGTCTTGGATGTTGGAGGGAAGCCTCATAACTCCCTGAAGTGTCCATACCTAACAAAGATCAGCAACAACAGTTAGACACACCGAAGCCAAGCACCCTCTGCTCAGTCACCCAGCTGCAGGCTGCTGCAGTGCAAGGCAGAGTTCAACCCCAGGAGTGTGTCAGCACAGCTGTGATCACCACCACGTGCTCCTTGGGTTGTTTGGTTTCTCTTTGAAATCTAGCTTCCATGAGCCAGTGCTGGCGCCGGGGCAGCTTGATGATTAGCTCCATGCTGAGTTCCCTGACAGTTGCCAGAGGACAGAGTTCACCCAGCACCTTACAAGGTGCTTCTGCCTGTCCTCCACCTCTATGGGTAGCTGCTGAGCTTTCGTTTTCCTGGGCTGGTGCTAGATATGGACTATTCCACTTCCTGCCCATGGGCAAACAGCTTGGTTGTGTGCTGGAAAGAACTGCAAACAGGAATTTTGCTTTATTCAGACAGAGTGTGTTTTTAGAAAGTTGGTTATCTAATTATAGCCTTATTTCTACTGTTTAGCTGGTTTTTCTCAGTAACTGATATTGCTAATTTAGGGCCATAAGTAAAGAGTAGAGGCTTTTTGGTCATTTGCAGTGAATGGATTTTGTGTTACTTGGCAGCAGTCACTTTCTTTATGCTGGAGATGTGTCATCTCTTTCTTTCTGTTAGAAGTGTATAAATCCTTCTCAATCCTACAGCAAACCAGAAAGAAGTGGAGAAATTTTGCCACTCAGACTATCCTTCCTGTCTTTTGGTAGATCATCAAGAGTGTTCCACGAAGTACATAGGAACTGTCAACAATCAACTTGACTTTAACTTTTTAAAAATAAAATCCATGTAATTTTTAGCAGCTAAGCTTAATTGTTACAGAACTTGCATTTTTTTAAGAAAAAAATAAGTTGATGCTTATTGCTGAATGGATGTAGCTAGCATCTTTCTAGATAAGCTGGATTGGTTCTGCGTGTCAGCTCAGTTTGAAGGGAATTCTCATAAACCCAACAGTAATCTTCCCATGTCTAGAGATCATTAGGGTGATAGCTGAGTCTCCCAGGACTCCTGGAGAAGTGACGTAGAAATAAAGTCTCACATTTCAGGCTTAACCTTCTGGCTATACTAACTGGCTGTGTTTTAAATATGTATGTTGAGAGTATGAGAGTATGCTTCTCACATCCTTTTTCCTGCAGCTTCTTTATAGCTTAAGAAGAGACAGTAGTTCTTCCTGGCAGATGGATGTACCTATAATACTCTTGTATATAAAGATATAGCACTTGCATGCCTAGTTGTGTCGCTATTTAGAATTGAGGAGGGACCAATTATTTAATCCATGTGGGAAAATAATTATCATTCAAGTGTCTTCAGCCACAGGAAGAAAGTTAAGGATAGAAAAAATGAAATACATCAGTTTGGTAAAACAAGTGCCACTGAAATACAGTGAGATCTCCCAGAGCTCTCTCTATTTTCCCTGAGTCAAAGGGGGCAGTTCAGTCAACTTTTTCTTGGACATCAGTAGGCATACATGGCAAATAAAAGTTACTTTCCTTAAGATATGATACTTGGCTTACATTAGTAGGCTACAGTTTCCTTCAGCTTGTCATAGTTATTTAGTCAGTCCTTTCTCTTTAATGATTCTGGTTGTGTTCATTGTAACTGGAAGTCCAAGATACACTGTATCTCTCTTAAATGCATGAGAAGATTGTTAATTTGTCATTCATTAATACGTTGGTGTGACGTGTTGAACTTGTGTGTTTTCTTCATTAAATCAGTATGAGACAAATTGGTTGAGACTTAGCAGTGGGCCTGTTGAATTTTATGGCCAAAAAAAAAAAAAAAAAAAAGGCAATAATTTAACCTCTTTAGGAAAGACATAGAGCTGCTGGAATGGGTCCAGAGGAGGGCCGCAAAGATGGTCAGAGGGCTGGAGAACCTCTCCTAGGAGGAAAGGCTGAGGGAGCTGGGCTTGTTCAGCCTGGAGAAGAGAAGGCTCTGGTGAGTCCTTCTCACCAGGAAGTGGTTGAGGCCTTCCTGTACTTGAAGGGAGCTTATAAGCAGGAGGGAGACCATCCTTCTATGTGGTCTGAAAGGAGAGGGGGGAATGGCTTTAAGTTGAAAGAGGGAGATTTAGGACAGATGTTAGGGAGAAATTTTTTAGGTCAGAGAGTGGTGAGGCACTGGAAACAAATTGTCTGGAGAAGCTGTGGGTGCCCCATCCCTGGAGACACTCAAGGCCAGGTTGTATGGGGACCTGGGCAGCCTGAACTGCTGAGTGGCAGCCTGTCCATGGCAGGGGATTGGAACTAGATGGTCTCTAAGGTCCCTTTCAACCCAAGCTATTCTATGATTTGATTTCCAGCCTGGTAGGAGTGACAAGTATCTTAAAAGGAAAAAAAGAAAAAAAAAAAAAAAGATTTTGTGTGCAATTTTGATTCAGATCATCAGCAATTGAAACTTTTTCCCTTCTGAATTAACTGGCAGCCTATGTAAGTGCTAGATGTGATTACAAAGCCTGGTTGCTTCTTGGTTATTTTTTTTTTCCGCCCAGAAGTGCTACATGAAGATATAGCTTGTATTTCAATGGCTTTTACTCAGACACAAAGTGTCCTTGTGATACTCATAAGAAGTTTTTCAGGAGTCCGTAACTCTAAGGCTGCAGAGCGGATATTGTGGGTGAGGAGCATACATGTGCTGTGTGCTCCAGGTTGCCTCGTCCTGCCCACCCAAACTGTTGAGTTGAAAACCTAAAAGATTTTCTTTATATTGGCAACCCCACAATCCTGGTATGCATTTACTTACTGCAGGGAGATGCCTTTAATGTTCATTAACAGATGGTCTCTTCTTTTGACATTTAGCAGTGGCAAGGTCTGCAAGCATTTCATAGTCCATTGTGCATTTGATGCAGTGTTCAGCAGCACTAGTGAAAATGCACAGCAATATTGTTCTGGGTTTGTTGTTCAACATTTTGTTTTGTTTTGGTTTTTTTTTGAGCATCAGCCATGGGACTGGGTGTAGTGTTGCCATGTTGCTCATTATTGCTGCATGCTGTCCTACCCCATTCAGTGTTTCTATTTATTTTTGTATCTTTGCATCCATCAACCACATTAGCCTCTTTAATAACAACATGAACTCCTAGCGTGATGCTTGGTTATGCGTCTAAGAGGACCTCTCTATCCTTTCTGGTTTCCTTACTTCTTAACTTCACAGTCCTCTGATTTGCAAACCTACTCACATTCCTTATTACTAGATAGATACATCTGCATTCAGATGTCTTAAGAGTGTTTTGGCTGGAATGAGCTCAGCTTGACAAATTATTGAGATAACTCTGTGTGATATCCTTTCTATTGTTATTTACCATGCTACTAAACCATGTAATCCATTAATTTTATTGCAGAGGATGTGCTTATTTCCAGCCAGGCAATAAAACTAATAAGAGATATAGAGCATAATTCCAGTCTCTGTGAACTGCACAAGGAGTATTACACTTCCATTGTGATGTTATTCAGCAATGATAACTTTGAGATCTTTGATTTAACTGCTTTTTAATCTATTTGGCATGTATTTTTTATATTCTGTTCTTAAAATCTGGTTGATTTGATATTCGTTGACACATTGTTAAGTCTTCACTTGCTGAATTCAGTGTGAAATCAATAGATTTCACCTGCCTTACTCTTCCCCCTTTTGTGTTTATACAAATGACATGTTGGAAAATTCCTCATTTTCTTGAACTGCCAGTTACAAATGCTTTTTTGCTTAAGATACTAAGAAACCCACAGAGCACGTGATTTCTTTTCAGCTGTGCACGTTGTCCAGCCCCTTGTCTTATATTTTAACTAAAGCATCTTTTCTTCATCTCTCCCAGCAGGAACAAGTACACGTCAAAAGGCGCTTTGTCCTGGCAGCTATTTGCACAGAAGCCTGAGGCACTAGAGCTCCCTCTTGCTAGTGGTGGTCGTGCTGCTCAGGTGGGCTAAGGATTTACTTGGATTGACATTTTTTGATTTTATTTTTTTTTTAACCTCTCTTTCTCCTTTCCAAGAGGTGTGTTGCTCACTTGAGGAAGAGGGGGTCCTCTTGTAGAGCTCTGCAGTGTGGTTGCTTGGGTATGTTAAGAGAAGAGATGGCCGTGGGGGGGGTTTATTTGCTTTGGCTTTAGGTTGAAATGTGACCTCAAATTAAGTTTAATAATCTGCCAGGAGAATGTATTTACTTTACATTTGTGATCGATACTCTCTGATTTCATAGTGATTTTTATGCATACTTTTATACCTCCTGGACCTATAGTGTAAAATGACATTAAGCAACTTGTGTGTGCGAGTCATCTCCAAGGTAACTTAGTTATCAAAACACAGTATCTCAGTTGCTCAGAGTAACACCACTTGTCTAATTGCACTTTAACAGTCTGCATTGCTTGTACTGCTGCTTTTCAAATTGTCGTGTACAGGTGTGCTTGGTGAGAACTTCCCAATTTACTTTTCCCAGTTGTAGCAATTAGTTCTTATCTGTTCATTTTGATCCTCGGGCCTGTGAAATAAATAAGTACATCTTAGAAATGTAAACAGTATCCTTCAAACTAAACTCTTCATGCTATTTTCTCCTACTGATAATCTGAAGAGGCAGCCTGTGTTTTCTGTTGTTTGTGGCATAATTAGTCTACTTCAATTATACTTGAATGAGAGCTCTGATATCAGAAGGGAATTTAGCAGCATCAGAAGTTTGGAGCTTTTTCATGAAGGAGCAGTGAGGACTTTTCTGTACATTATTACCAAGCTTGTTGGGAGAAGAAGAGGCTGTAAATTCATGGTTACATACCTGTATTCCTTCCTTCCCTCTCAGAGTCTTTTCTATTTTACCCACATCTTTCATGTACAGTAATATGACAAGGTCATGTTGTTTGCTGCTGTGTCTCCTTCCAAAACTCTTCACTGTGCTAATAGCATTTGCCAGACCAAACAGGCCTGTTTGCTAGCATACACAAAGTCTGGGCTGCTTTGTGTACAGCTGCTTTTGGTGCTAGAGTGCCATGTATATGATCTGCTGTATGCAGTGGAGTCTTGTAGGTTTCTTGACCGGTGACTCTATGGCTTCTGGTTTTGTTTTGCATTTAGCAGATAATTTCAGTTATCTGATTTTTTTTTTTCATTGCTGCTTTTTGAGGAATTTTGCAGAATCCCAAGGTGAAAAATCCAATGAGTGTTTTGTCTTAGTATGTAAGTACAACAAATGGATGCCACAGCGTTCTTTCTCAACCAGGAAGGATAAAGACCTGCTAGCTCTGTTATCTGTCTTGCTCCTCTCCCCAGAAGCCCCTATGTGAGAGGAGACCTGCATTCCCAGATTTCCTGGCTTGAGCAGAGACTTCTGCAAAGCACTTCTACTTCAAGCTCTCTGTACCCATGAGGTGGTTTGGCACAGGGGGAGCTGTGGCAAATGGGTTAGCAGCACGCATAGACCATGCACGCTAACATGGAGGCATTGGTGGCTGCTCTTCTGTAAGTTGTTCCCTCCGTCAGTGGCTGGTAACTGCTTGGTTCTGCTACCACAACTGTTTTGTGAACTGGACAGAAGAGCTGATCTGGCATTAAACTCTATTACATGTAATTATTTTGTGGCTTTGAAAGAAGTTATTTTAAAAGCCTGATTGCAACTCAGCTGTGTTTTACAGCACGGCCACACCAAAATGTGCATCTTTGCAGTGTTGGATTGAGAAGCTGAAAGGGTTAAAAAAAAAAAAAAAAAAAGGCTATTAAAGACTCACTTTAACTGATATTTTTGCCAAATTCTTTGTGTTATCAAGCCATGGCTGTGTCTGCTGCTGTCATCCTTTCCTGCTCATCCCCTTCTGGGTGGCCCTATTAGTCAGGAAAAAGGAGGCTTTTACGAACAAAGTTTGGGTGTTGAGTTTGTGTATTCAGTAACAGCAGTGCCCTTGTGTGGTTCACTTCCATTGGGAATAATAGGAGGTGGCCTTAAATTGAATACAGCCATTTTGCATGGACCTTGCTAGGGCTTTTATTCTCAGTGGATGCTCTAAGCATGGTGTCTATATGCACTTATGGAGAGAGAATAGAGTGAGAATAGAGTGAGAATAGGCCAGCTTTCTGGATGCCCAATGGTTTTCTTTTTTAGCTAATGACCTCCTGTGCATTACCAGCACATGGACTGTGCTAGTAGTGTAGTGCTAACCATGCATGTAGTCATTTCCTTTTCCCTCTTACCTCCTTTTAGAAGACTTTGCTCTTGAATCTTGTAAATGGGGTGATAATTTCAAAGCAAACAACTTTCAGTTGTTTCTTGCCAACTTTTGCCCACAAGGTATGCAAAGTAAACAGAGCAGTTGGAAAATTAGTTTCCTACCTCCCCTCCTGCTACAAAGCATCCCAGGATGTCTCTTGGCTCTTTTTAAAGTATGAGTGAAATGAGAACATTTTTACATTTGTTACATTTCTACATTTTCACAATTGTTACACCAAATTGCCTTTTAATGAATGAAGCCATTGCACAGGTCATTCATATTCTTCTTTAGGAAAACCTTCTAAAACGTGAGGCTTTTGAAAAATCTCCCCAGTTCATGTATTGAACGTAGAGCTGTTCCACTGCTTTCTGCAGTGAAAGGAAGTTGAAATATCAAGGATGAAGTGAAAAGAAAAAAATATAAAAAAAAAATAAAACATGATTTTGAAGTACATTCTGGTGAAATATGAGAATTCCTAGTCTTCTTAGGCTCTTGGAGGTAACTGAAAAGAATTTCCAGGTTGCCTCTGTGTTTTTGTTTGATTTGAAAACTGTATCTCTCATTGCTGGAGTGGCAGGTACACAGCACTCACAGGGAGTGATACCTGTCATAGGATATGAATATACACGGCCAAGCTCTGCCCTCCAGCTGTTTTAATGCAAGGAGGAGGTATTAAAAATTAATTTAAGAATATTTTTAAAGGGAGAAGATATTTAAAAAAAAAAAAATTGACTTTAAAAAGAATGTGTCTTTAAAATTTGGCAAAGAAATGGTTAACACTTAATCTTCTCAGCTCCAGCCTAGGTATTGAACAGCCTCTGCCAATTGAGCAATAGGAAAATTTGTTAAGTGTGAAAACTAGACCTGAGGTTATTGACCCTGAGGCTTGGCTACGAGGAGATGGCATATCTCTATAGATAAATATCCATTATGTGATAGCCTCCAAATGAGGGAGGGCAAGTCCCATGTGTATAAGGCTTACAAGAATTCAAGTCAACAATCGAGTTATAATCTAATGAGGCCACAAGCACAAACATGACTTCAATTTAAGCTTACCCATGGAAAGCTGGAGGCACCTGTCCCAAAAGAAGGCTCTTCATTAGTGCCTTTACTCCCTTGGCGTGCTTCAAATGGCTCTATTGCAATAACCCCTACAATTTCTCCTTCACGGGTTTCTGATCCCTTCAGGAAAGTAGTTACACATATGGAGTGCACTCTATTCCTTTTCAGAAATAGGTTCTGTATTATATACAGGGATAAATAATATGTAATTATATATAACATATAACATAATTACAATTAATGTGTTTTTAAAGGGAAGTATGCTTTGGCGTGTGAAAACTTTTCCATCATGAGTAAAGATTTTGAAACTCACTGAAGGTTGGCTTGCTGTTTTTTTTGTTAAATAGAAATTCCTTGAGTGCCATAAACATTAACTCAAAACATCTGAAAGAATGTAACAGTTCTGTCTTCTTCTGGAATATTTCAGTTGTGCTCGTGCCAAATATTGAGCAGTGAGCTCAGCTGCAAGGGCCTCATCTGGCTGTACTTGTAGTCCCTACAATGTATGAGCTGATTTATTAATTTTTTAGTACAGATTTAATGTTAAGCTTTCATGTTTACTTGAAGGGAGAGGAAATATTACAATTAGAGCACATTTTTTAGTCATGTGTATATCTATGAGCCACAAGGCAAGGATGATGTGTTCTTGCAATAATTTATTTTTAAGTAGCTATGCTTCAATAAAGCACGAGATCAGGCATTCCACACCACACAGTAACATTTCTTGCTCTTTAGCTCAAATAAACTTCAGCTCAACTGGCATATATATTTTTTTTTCTAAGTGAAATTATGACTATCTACTTTACAAACCTAAGAGAAATTAGGACATGATGTAGCCTTCTGCTTAGTCTATCCTCCAAGATGCTGCTTTGTGAAATTTGATTCAGCGTCTGTTTTTTTACCTGTGAATCCTTAGTGAGGTTAAAACTATCCAGATAAATTCAATGCAAATATCATGCAGATGTTACCAAACCCAGGAGATGGCTGAATGGCTGTTGTGAAAGGCTTTGTGATCAGACAGGAAATCAGAGTCTCATCTGCTTCTCTGTTGCAATTACAACAGCTGCTTTTCTATATAGTCTGAAGACAAATCTTTTATAGGTGACATCTAGGTTGGTGGTGGTTGTTTGTTTGTTTTTCCAGGTTGGTGTGATAAGATTGTACATGCAAAAGTCTTGAGAATGCTTATGGTTTCTAATCTTCATTATAAATATCTGTGATCTTCAGTAAGGTGGACCAACGTACCTCAAACTGTATTGCTACTTACAGAGAAATAAGATCGCTTTCCTCAAGGGAACACCTGTGCAATGTTCAGATAAAGTGCTTTATCTAGAGTGTAGAGATGGAGACACCAAACCTTCTGTGTGCATGCTCAACCAGGCTGGGGGTACTCAAGGGAGAAACTCACTTTCTCCTTCAGGTTTTGATTCTCTGTGATAATAAAAGAAGCACCATTCTACCTTCTTCTTCACTTGGGCTGGGTGCTGTCCTGCAGCAGGTGGCCTGTTGGCTCTTGTTCAGAGGGGGAAGCTGCTCTCCTTTAACAGGAGAGTGAAGTGAATGGCAGGGCTATTCTTACTTGCCCAGGGTCAAAAGTGTAGATTTAGTGCTCAGTGCTGGCAGACCCAGCAGTAGGAATCACTGGTCCTCAGGCCTTTGTGTTCAGAG